CTGTGAATGAAATAGGAGTTCAGGGAAACTAACGTTTAGTTTGTAGAAAATTCAATTTGGTCAGTTTTTGGTTTTTGGCCCAGTTTCCTCACCTGAAATGTCACTACCTTTGTGTGTACAGATATGTGTGTTCAGTAACCCCAGCCTGTGTTTACTTTGATGTTCCAGCACTAGGAAAAGGGGGTGGGGAGCAGGTGTTGGTACTGTTTGTTTGTGCAGGCCTGAACTTTTGTCACACTAATTTGGGCTACTGGACTGAGTCAGCTGCTCTATTGAGCTATAACTTATTCTTGAATCTGGAAAACTCATCTATGGAGACAGTAGGTGAGAAACTGGGGGGAGAAGGGGGGTGGATTATTGGTAGGGCCCTGCTGGTGCTCAGTTGAACTATAAACCTTTGGGTTGTAGAAGCCAGTTTTATTGAGAGTTCTTAGCCAACTTCTCTCATAACTTTACACCATGGTCCTGCAGAGTTGTTCCCAAAATTTTAGCTAGTATGAAACACTCCAGCCTCTTATGAAGCAACAAGAGTTTGATTGGGAGGCTAGTGATATCTTTGCCTCCAGACCTATTTTTCATGCTGATGGGGGAAGAACCTCACCATCCACAGCTTCTGCTCACACCAGGATTTAACAGGGCAGAGTAAGAACCACAACTATAGCTTCAAATTGTGTTTGATGTTGCTACTGAGTTCTGGATCTTTGTGGTACAGAGTCTTCTTGGCCAAAAGTAGTGATTAAGGTGTCAGTTGAGAACAGGATTTTCAAAAAACTAGGTGGGAGAGCAAGGCTTCTTCTGTCAGCTGTTGTTTTGAGACCTTAACTCCCACTTCTAAATTTTGCCAGTTTCCAGGAGTCACGGGTTTGGGCAGTTCTTTCAACCTGTCTAAATAGCAACCAAAAACAGTGAAAAGAGCATTTCTGTACAGTGGGTTCAGAATTGAACTTTGGGGGGAAGCACATAAAGGGGCCTGAGCTTTTGAGGGTCTTAAAAATCATTTTAAAATCCTGTTTGCCTAAGAGATGGTGGTCATTTAACTTCCCCAGGCTTGGGGGGAGAAAAAAAGTTGTTTTCCACTCTTGATCTTTTCTCCAGCCCTCATACATGGAAACTGCAGTTGGGGCTGATAGGTAGGGCTAGGCCTAAGAAGTGGATTTGTGCTTTAGAATTACATTCCTAGGCTAGAGAACCAGGCAGTGCTTAATTCAAGTCACCACAGCCTTGTAAAGTAATCTCCATTTGCTAGATGCACTGCCTTTACTAGGCTCAGAAAGGTAGAGATGATAAAAAAAAAAATAGCAGACACTGCTACTCACTGCTCTACCCTTCTGAGGATAGGCTCAGCTTTGTTTCTAGGTTTCTTTTTGGAATCTGTGCAATGTATCTAGACTTTGCCATCATCTGCCTGGCATCATAATGGGGAGCTGCATCCAACTTCTTGGCTGCTTTCCTGGCCTTTGTTTGATGTTGGTAGATTAGAGAAATGCCAACAACATAGGGACAGGAATCTCTGAGAATGCCACTGATGGCTTGATCAGTGATGGAGTAAAGGCAGTGCAAATTTGAGCTGTTTTCAATGAGATTTGCATAATGCATGATGTGGAGGCATGTCTTATTTTGTTTTTTAAATTAGTATTGAAACCCTGGCCAGGTAGCTCAGTTGATTAGAGCATCGTTGCCATACGCCAAGGTTGCCAGCTCAATCCCCATTTAGGGCACATATGAGAGGCAACCAATAATTTTTTTTAAATTGTTTTTAAAAAAATTAGTGTTGAAAATGCCCAAAGAGGGTAGATTTAAATGATCACTGGAGAATAGCCTTATTCTCTGAGAGTACCTTGTTCCAGAGAGACTGAAAGCTCACTTTGTTGAAGGTAGCATGTACCTCTGTGGACTCTGCTTACAAACATTGAAAATTGAATAAGAAATAGTCTTATGCTCTGAAGAGGTTAGTCTAGTGGGAAGGAAGGATTACATAGTGTGTTTTATTGTAATGGAGTGCTGTGGAAGGGGAGAAGGGACTTGACCTGGGGGGTTCAGGGAAGGCTTCCTATCAACCTACAGGAGCCAGTACCATTTCTGGAATTAGTGAACACCAGGAAGGCCCTATCAGAAGCCTACTGCTAGGTTTCTCATCCAAACTCTCCATATATATAAATCTTCCAGTCAGGTTAAAACAAAACAATGGGAAAGATAGGTGGTATGTGGGGAACTATAAGCAATTGGGTATTAATAATTAGAGCATGATGTACTGTGGGAAGAAGAAAATAGGTTCCCTAGATTCCCAATTCTCTTTGGTAGTAGCTTCCTGGGACACTATCAAGGAGCCTCTGGGTTTACTGGAAAAGAGGATATCTGTAGTAAAGTGTTTTATGGGAATGGGTTTAGGAAGAAAGTTTGGCAACTAAATTTGGAGAGATGGGGGAGATGGAGGAATCTAGAGGTTTCTGGCTTGAGTGACTAGGTAGATGTTAGAGGTCAGAATACAGAAGAGAAGCCAGATTTCAGAGAGTGGTGAATAACACACATACTGTCTTGCACTCATAAAGCTATGAGTCTTTGTTTTTGGATTGTCTGAGACTTTGTTTTTAATTGTCTCTCCATATGTGTCTTGTTTGAAATATAATGGACTTTGAAAACATACTTTTTGGTGTTCCCTGTGAGTCCCTGGAACTTTTGAGAGACCATTGGGATTTTTTTTAATGGGGGGAGGGGAAGCATATGTAAATCTATTTATCATGGGCCATCAGTTCAAAATTCAAGTGTTAAGATTTAAAAGATAGTTGTGAGTAGATAAGGACCCATTAAAAATCCTTAGTAAAGTAAGTTGATTCTGGTAAATGTGTGATTTTTAACGCTTTTAATGAGCCCTTACAAGTCATGTGTTCCTACAGACTGTCACTTGAGAGATTAGGGGACAGATGTCACAAAGGAAGAGAGAAAGGAACTGTCCTAGGATATATGTAGTTCATGGCAGAATGAGAACCAGACTCTCCGTCTCCAGAGTCATGCAGTCAGTGCTTTCTCACTGTTTTTTGGTTCATGCTGACTTTGCCTTCTTAAAGCTCTTTGCCTGCTTAGGATCATCACAGAAGTCCCCATCTTTTTGTATATTTGTATATGAACTCCCTCCCCTTATACAATTCAGCTATTCCCTTAGTGCTTGCTGCTAACTTTATTCTTGCACTTACCACTTACAGAACTTTGATTTACTCTAATATCTGTAAACCTTAGTGATCCCCCCTGCCCTGACTCTCACCCCAGACTTTACTGCAGGGACTAATACCTAGCAGAGTGGTAGATGTCAATAAATGGACAGCCCAAGTAACCCACACACGTGTCCTTGCTCTATTTCAGGAATGCCTCTGGCTCAGGCAGTAGCCATTCTTCAGAAGCACTGTCGCATCATCAAAAATGTCCAAGTTCTCTACAGTGAACAGGTGAGTGGTAGCTGATTTGTTTGCTGAAATAGCATCCGTAATCAGTGAGTCATCTCCAGATATTGATGATCTGGGAAAGGCTGACTGTCAAGGATTGTTGGCTCAGTGTATTCGAATGGAGAACCTTTAGCACTAGTCAGTTACCAAGTACCTTTCTAAAATTTTTGGTCTTGATAATCTGGTGCTGCCAGGTTTTGAGGAGTAGTAATAATACTCTTTTCTGCTTTGTTGGTTGCTTTGGTTTGTGTTCAGGATTGTTGTAGTGCAGATTTCTAGCTAGCAGAGCATCCCAGACTTGAAGTGGGTATACCTCACCTCTTTAGTGAGAATGATCTAATGTATGGAAATTGCAAAATATTGGCTCCCAATTAATGGACATATTTTATTCTTTTTTTGTCCAGTTTATGGTAGTCTCTATTAAATGTTGGTCAATTGTGCCAGGAATTAATCTCTATAGTATAATGTTGTGTATACCTACAAAGACTTTTTCAGTTTCCAGAAAGAGTATATTTTAGGTTAGCACCAGAGAAGAACTTCCGGAACATCAGAATTTGAAATAATAGTACTTGATTTTTTAAGTTCATAAAGTTAGAAACTATTTTTCATAGGCCTTTAGAAATAGGATTTTTCATCTCTCTAAAAATGCAATCTCCCTTCCACTGACTTCTGAAACCTGTGATTCTTCTATGACACAGAGCACATGCTGCCATGTGGCGAACCTTTGTAGTGCCGTATGCATCACAAACCTCAGGGAGTAGTTTTGAGCCTACATAGGCTACAGGCTGTCCTCAAATGGCTTTTCTGAGACAACTTAAGTACCAGTTTGATGATTTTAGTTGTATTTATTCCAGTTAGTTTCAGATCATAAAGCAATTGACAGATTATTTTTGACATGAAGGATTAGAAGTGGGTAAGATTTCTGTGATGCTTCTCAGTTTCACTTAAAGTGAAGAATGGTAGCTTTTCCTCTTTGTTGCACCCAGATAATTTGTTACCTAATCTGACTTTCAGTGTTAGACCATGAGGGGATTACTCATGACAAGTAGCAGCCATCAAAACAGGAAGCAGCTCAAGAAAATTGGCTTTTTGAGCTTATAGGTAACTTACAGAGTTAATTAAATCAGATTTGGGCACCCCAAGATTAGACGCATTTGAAAATAGACTTTAAACATTCTTAAAGCATTTTTAAGCATATGTTTTATTTCTTATATCACTGTCTTTGTTGTCTGTCATTCCAGTTTTGGAGTACAAATAGTAGTTTTAGCATTAAATTAATTCCCCCACACACACTATCTTCTAAGCAACTAGAATCGGTTTAAAAACATAGATTTAATAATTAGTCTGGTTCTCCTATGAAATGGATATAGTTTCCCTATAATAGAATAATCTTTTTTGTTGTTGTTAATCCTCACCTTAGGATATTTTTTCCATTGAGTTTTAGAGAGAGAGGGAGGGAGGGAGGAGAAGGGAAAGAGAAACATGATTGGTTGCCTCCCTCGTGCCCCAACAGGGCTGGGGATTGAACCTGCAACGCAGGTAGGTGCCCTTGACTGGGAATTGGACTTGAAACCTTTCAGTGTGCGGGCTGACGCTCTAACCGCTGAGAACTCTGGCCAGGGCAGAATAATCTTTTGATGAGGATCAAGAGGAGGTGGTCTCTCAGATCTCTGATGTGGTGTTTCTTACATGTGGTCCTTTCCAATTCTTCCCTCCTTCCATTTGTCTCCTTGCTTTCCATTAAGTGCAGAGAATAGTTTGGCCCATTAAACATTTCAGAAATACCCTGTCTGAAGCAAATCACACCTTGGAAATGAAGTGTGTATATCAAATAAGCCCCATCTTTCTTAGAGGGAGAAGATGTTAATGACTTGCAACAAACAGCTTTGCTGAATTGTTTCATATGGAGGACTGCATAGTGCTTGGTTACTAGAAGGGCCTGTTTAAACATCACATAGTGTGTATTTTCATAATGGAGATACAAAGTACTGATAAAACATTGATTGTAAGGATGATTTATTTGCTTCCTTTTAAAAATTGCTTAGTTGCACTAAAAAAAATTTATTTAAATTTTTTTTTTTTTTTGCTTAGTTATGTCCTGCATTGTAACAATGCCAGGAAGAAAATGATCAATTCTTGGGAGAGTGTAAGAAAAATCTAGATCCTCCTAGCATTCTTCCTCCAAGCATGGATCTTGAAAGATGCTAAAATGTTTTTTCATCCTGTTTACCCCTGTGGAATGGCCCTCTCAGAAATGGAACTGTGTGTTCTGGATTGAGAATAAGGTCAGGGTTTCTAAGTCCATTATCTTGTCTTACTTGAGACCTAATGGTTTAGACATTCATACGGCATTCTTCTAGTGTTTGTCAGTTATGGTGCCACCATGGCCTGCTACCTTGTGAAGATCAATGGGGTGGACAGGAGCACAGCCTGAGCTAATCCCAGAAGGTTCTTTGGAGAGCAGTTTTCTACTGAGGCCCACACCAGCAATGGCACAGTCTTTATCTCTCTGACAGCCACACCTCTGTCATTCATTGCCTACTTTGAGGAGCTCTATAAAGAAACTTCCCTAAATCCTTTTGAGAACTGTGTGCCAATTTCAAGAAAGGGCAGTTTTAGATGGTTCTGTTTTCCTTCTGCTGGGCAACCTGGTTAGGGGTATGGAGAGTCTTCAGATGTTGAGTCTTTGAATTGATTGCATTGGACTAGAAGCGGGCAGGTGGGGCATACATAAAGAAAGAGTGCAGTGTGCTATGCTTAGTGCTTTCTGACTTACTACTTATCCTCACAACAACCCTGGAGGGAAGGGTTGATGGTATTCCCATGAAGAAACTAGAGCTCAGAGAAGTTTTGAGAGTCACTTAAGGTCACCAGCTCACCTGGACTCAAGGCCACCTCTGTCCACTATTCTGTGCTGCTATTCCCCTCCCCCCAGGGCTCAGAAGGGGCAAATATAGAAATATGATTCCTTAGATCTTAGACTTGGGCCTTTCAGAAAGAAGCAAATGTGATATGGGTTGGTGGGGGGAGGGGAGGAAAGAGTAAGAGTGTCATCTCTCATAATCCTATCACAAAGTACTCCTTTGTCCTGGAATATGGCCTAAAAGAGTCAAAGAATAAGTATTCCCTGTGGATGGGTACAGGCTGAGAGTGAATGGACATAGGTTTATCTGACATGAATTGAGCATTACCTGCTGAGTGTGGATCCTCGTGAGGCTTTTTCATGTGGTCTACATTCCTCATCATCTGCTCTGTAGGTTTGACAGCAGTAAACCCATGCTACATATTTGGACCCTGGACCCTCAAAAGAAAGTGGCCTATATACTCACATAATTTTGGCTGTTTTCCCCAGGTATTATTACTCAAAGCCTGTAATAATATAGGCTTTGCAAAAGAGAGGCTCTTTTCAGCCAATATTATAAAGCAGCAGCTGTAGGCTGGAAATAGAGCACACTGTGCATTCATGCAATAGTTTGTTTCTGGCTTCCAAACCCTGTTAGTTGGGGGAAGAAGTCTGCACTTAGATATTCCCTGTGTATTGCATTTATATTGTAAGGCTTTCAGTAGGTGCTGGTAAGTAAATTAATTTTTCAGAGTGTGTTTTTTTTTATTTTGTAGTCTCCTCTAAGCCATGACCTCATCCTTAACCTGACTCAGGACGGGATCAAACTACTGTTTGATGCTTTCAATCAGAGACTTAAGGTAACTGAAGTTTCATGGCAGGCTGATTAATATGTGCTGTTGTGAGATGTTTCCGAAATTCCTAAGTGGGAGTAAACTTCTATGGTACAGAGACCACCAGGTGGTAGGGGACTGAAGCCATACCTGTTTCCCTAAAAAGAGAAACTGAGTCTGGTGGTTGGAAAGATTCTGGGAAGGACTCTACTCCCAGGCTCTAGAGGTGAAGGGGAAAGAGTATTGAGGATTTGGGGAACATGCTATGGGGAGGGTGGTTTTAAATTGAATAGGAAAACGAGAGGAGCTAAGTATATGGCATAGGTTATCCTGAGTCTTTAAAGGGGTACTAAAACTCAGCAATTCCAATCCAGGGTATCTACTCAGGAAATGAAAACACATTCTTTTAGTCAGGTTTATGTATCTCATTTTACTTCAGTCTTGGGACAAATAATATGACTTAGCAGATGAAAACTGGAACTGCTCTTCCTAAAATGCTGGGGTTTGGGGCTTAACACCATCAGCAATGAGTTGATCCTTGAGCTCCTTTGAGAATGTAAATAAACACCTTGCTGGTGTGTAGGGTTGTCTTAATTGGCGCTCAAGTGCTATTTACTAACACCTGTTTCAGTCCAGGATGTTTTTAATACACTATTTACAAATGACTGGGCTTCACAGGTTAGTCATGTGACATCAGACTCATGCCCCAGAGTCACAAGATTGAATGTGGCTCTGGGAAGAGTCATCATCCTGGTTAGGTTATGGAGTTGCCTTTCCAAAAGACTTCCTAATTCTTGACATCCCATCACAGATGAGCTGCTGAGGAGCCAAGATAGAACACAGAAAAAGACTCTACATGAAATGAGAATTCCTCACTTAAGGTTTTTTTTCAAAGCAAGGTTTAATGTGAACATACTTAGCCCCACATCTCCCTTGCCTCTCCTTGTGGACTCAGTCATCCTGTCCTCACCGACCCGAAGTTCCATAATGAGAAAAGATAGAGGATGGCTTTCAATGTGACTTTGTCACAAATTGGGGGAAATTAATCTGGAAACACCTTTACAAAGAGTCATTTGCCTTTGACTTGGTAATCCACTTTAAGAAACATATCTTAAAAAGGTTATGGATAGGGTAATGTTGCCAGATATTTATAGCAGGGCTTTTCATAGTAATGAAAAGCTGGAAGTAACCTAAGTGGACAACAGAAAAGGTTGGCTAGGCAGCCCATCATAGAATCAGAGCATGGTGAGGACAAAACCATGTATTTAGTGAGCACTTGGCACATTCTAGGCTCATGGCGGAGTGCTTCCCATGCATTTCTAACTTAATCCCAATAAGCCTGTGAGTGGTACTGTTTACCAGTGAGACAGCTGAGGGAGAGAGGATAAGTGGTCTGTCTGCCTGACCAAGCTTTTAACCCTATATTACCAGTTGTGGTGACTAGCCACTGAAAGTCAGAGTGGCTTTAAGCTCTGTGATAAAAGCTGAAGAAAATAGTGTGAGTACATTATGCAGAAATGTGAGGAATGGGAAATACATTAGAATGGGCAAGGAGGTAAAGTCTTCTGCCTCTGTGAACAAGGAGGGGCTAGGGCCCTGCCTCAGCCTCTGGAAACTGAGGAAGCAATCCATCAGGTGCCCTTGCTTGGCACCAGGTCTGATCTGACCCATCTTCCTGGCCCTCCATCCAAGGGCTTCAGAATTTACCTCTCCCTCATGCTGTGTCCTGCATTTTTCCCAACCCCTTACTCGCTACCTGTGAGTGAGCTCTGTGGAATGAGGTTTCACCAAGTCACAACCTTTACAGCCACCTGTCTTTTCCTTTCCTATCTTGGCTGCTGCCATGTCTCCTCCTCTCTGGTGAAATCAAGGACTTTTCCAGCCCAGAGGATAGAAAATCATGAACTTTAGACTTACCCAACTGCTCATTCCTATGGCCCAGCAAGCTCTGTTGCCTAAAATCTGCTGATAGATTCTCCTAGTGACATGAAGGACTCCCAGATGGTCAACACTCTGGGTTCCTTGCCACAAGTGCCACCCTGTCATTAACTCTGGTCCACTTGGCAGGCAGGGTTGAACCATCTATAAATGTTGGTCTGAGCTGCAGCAGGTGGGTGACAGTGACATAGGAGGAGCATCCTGGAGGCTCACCCCACAGGGTGAGTGGTAGGAAGCCATTGAGGTGCCATTCGCCAGCTGTGGTGGTATTAATCAGAGCAGATCTCTGGCTGAAGGTTGAGGCCTTCTTCCAACATGGGACCCTGGCTTTGGTCAAATGGCATACCAATTTGGCATGATATACTGCCACGCCCAGGCTTTCTGAAAGGGACACTAGGTATCTCATGAATCATAGTTGTTTCCCTGCCCTTCCTTGCATGACGTCTCTTGGCATCTCTTTTCATGCTTTTGAGCTTCATGTTGCCCTTAGCTAGCTTCATACCAGGCCAACTCACCTGACATGTTGAAGTACTTCCCTTTGCAAACTAATAAGCCAGACCTTAGGGGCCTTAACTTAGTGGGGTCAGTGGACAGCATACACAAGTTGTGTAGCAAAGGGTTGATTCAAGTGCTGTGACAGCCAGCAGAGGGAGCAATTCTTAGTAGCAGATAGGATCAGAATAGCTACATTATAGTTAAGAGGTGTCTGTCCAACTTGTAAATTCAGTGTTATGATCTAAACAAAGTTAGAGACAAAGTCTGGCAAGAATGAATTGCCTATTGTGTCTCAGTTTCTGTGACAAAGCCAGATGCTCCTATACCCAATTTCCCACAGCCTCTTCCAGGGTCAGGCTGATTGCCAGACAAACAGATATTGAACCAGCTCTGCTCTCTAAAATGAGGCCCAAGACTTCCCACCTGGAGGATGGTAGACGGTTCTCCAGGCCCCAGCCAGCCATCCTGCTGGCTGACAAGCCCTAGACACCATTAGCATAGAGGACTTCATAGTTCATAGTACTTGGCACCATTAGTGGCTGAGTGTTCAATAACTTTTCCTTTGTCTCTGCCTTGAGTTCTGGACATTTCATTTTAGGCCAACCCCATTGAAACTTCACCAGGGTTCTAAGGTTATCCAGGTTTAAACAGATGCCCTTCATTAAAGAGGTATCTGAATATTGTCAGTTGTCCTAAGTTAATGTATTGTGACTTGCTTTCTAGCAGGATAGACATCCCCCTCCATCTTTTTGTTTTGTAAACCACAGTATTTTGAAGTTACTTTTGACTTGATTTGGGTTTTTATATGCAGCAAAGTATGGAATAGAAGGATGGGGGCTCCATATCAAAGGTTACAACCTTTTCTTTTCTTTTTTAAAATATGTTTTTATTGTTTTTTTAGAGAGAGAGGAAGGGAAGGTATATGCCCTGTCCGGGAATTGAACCAGCAACCTTTCAGTTCATGGGACAGTGCTCAACCCACCGAGCCACACCAGCCAGGGCTCCAAGGTTACAATCTTAACAAACCGCGTGAATTTCTTTCTGTGGAGGGTTTCACTGACCTGTAGGGTGTTATGCACAGTCTTCTCTATGACCCAACAGTAGAATAGGTATAAGAACCTTGACCCAGAGCATCCACAGGCATCTGTTGAACAATCCACTGGAAGAAGGGGAAGGAGAGGTTATTCTGTGTGTGGTATGGGTTTTTCGTCCAGATTTAAAAATGAGAACTGAAGTTAATGTGCATTGCTTCAGGAGAATTTCAGCTAGTGATAGATTTTTTTTTTTTTCTTCACTATTCTATAAATGTCTTCTTAATATTTTTCAATGACAGAGCATTAACAACTCTTAAAATTTTTTTTTAGGTGATTGAAGTATATGACTTGACTAAAGTAAAGTTAAAATATTGGTGAGTTTTCTCCCTTGCTGGTATATGTCACAGGCTTGGTACAAGTGGGCTTTATCTACTACACTCATTATATTAGTAAAAGAATGCCATACACAGCAGTTCCAGGATTAGAGCCTGGTGCCACAATTTCCTCAGGCAACTTTCAAGCCTACTCAGTTTCCAGGGGAAGAAAAGGAAACCTTATTTAACAACATGCTGTGTATATATGTCAAATTATTTAATCCTCACAACAAAGCAGGACCTCAGCTCGGAGGTGATGTTACTGTCTCTTGGGCCACAGCTATCTGCACAGCTACTTCTGGCACCTCTTTATGCTTTCATGAGCAACAGAATTGGGACAGTCCAAATAGGTCTGACTCTAAAGCCTATGCTAAAGAAAATGCCTGAAGGACCACTATTGGGGGGCCAAAAAATGCTTTTTAAAATCATGTTTGTATGATGCACAAATATTTGACCCCCATTATGGCAAGGCACTGTTCTAGCATCTAGAGTGCTCTGTTCAGTGAGCTTCCAAGGTCTGGCTGCCCTGGGCTTGAGTTATGGCTTCATCATTTTATTAACCTCTGTGACCTTGGACAAGTCACTTAACCTCTTTGAGCTTGTTTTCTCATCAGAGAAATGAAACCAGTAATGTGGCTGCTGGGTTAGGAAGATTGCATGAGATAATGCTGGTAAATAACGCATGTAGCACAGTGCCTGGTTAAAAAAGAGGTATTCAATAAATGATACTAATTTTCAAAAAATTATTCTTAACCTTTAAGCATTCTCCTTAAAGTCATAAACGCCTTCTCTTCATGCTTATCATCTGATATCATATGCCCCCCCCTTTACTCCCGAGCCCAGCCCCCAGGTGTTTTTTCTTTGCATGGGATCCATCCCTCACCCACCCATCTACCCAGTCACCCAATTCATCTGTCTTTTAAGAAAATAAGCTGCCTTGCTTGGCTACACCCTTCTTTTAAGATGTTCATCCCTTTTGTAAAAAGTTCCTTTTTCAAGCCAACTACTAGTTGGCATCCTGGGAAAACACATTAACACTTATTTATTCCTGAGGCCACTATTTAAGTTTGGATGCCTGGAATTGAGACTGGATTTATTTCATTCTTAACTGTACCTGGTGACCACAGATGTCTTGAGAGGCCCTAGAGGACCAATTCTGTATATAAGCCTCAGGAGAATTGACTTGTCCTGACCTCATTCATTTTCTCTTACTTAAAAGTTCTTTAGTTAAACTTTTATTTTGATATAATTGTAGACTCACCCACCCATGTTTTAAGAATAACTTTTCTAGCCACCATCTCCACTGATCTGTGAGCCCATCCTGAGAAGCCTGGTATTAAAAAGTATCTTTGTTTTTCAGTGGAGTACATTTTAACTCTCAGGCCATAGCTCCCACCATTGAGCAGATTGACCAGTCTTTCGGTGCAACCCATCCTGGAGGTAAGCCAAGTCCATCTGATTCCTCTGGTCATCTATGGCAGCCCATAGTGATAAACCTGGCAAGTGGTACCATCCCAACCACAATCCATGAAGCCTGGTTCTTACAGTATATGGGGGTTGGTACTTGAGTGTAAAGGAAAACTCCTCCTCCTTGTTTTCAGCCCTAGTAGGTCAGTTCAGAAATAAGACACAAGGAAGTGAAGTGGTGCTAGTCATTACTCCCTGCCAGGCTATAAACAAATGTTTGCAACTTCAGCCATGCCATTTTCTTCTCCCCACTCCTACAGTGTACAACTCCGCTGAGCAGCTCTTCCACCTCAACTTCAGAGGACTGTCTTTCTCTTTTCAGTTAGACTCGTGGACTGAGGCTCCCAAGTACGAGGTTAGCCCTTCCTTTCCCCTGGTATTTGTTGCCCAGTGCCCAGGTGATATAGGTCAGCAGACAATGCTATTAAGGTAGACTAGATAGGTACCCTTTCTTTGGTTTCCTTGTCTCTTGAGGTCTTCAGGGGCCAAGGGGGTAGAATGGGTAGGGTTGACAGGAAGAACAGCCCAAGCTGGCATTCCCAGAAAGAGGGCACTTCCAACTGCAGAGTGAGGTCAAGCTCACTTTTCAGAGGTAAATCCATTCGTGCATTGCTTTAAAACTCCCAATCAGTAGACCATTTTTCTCAATGACCTAGAATTTGAATTTATCCTGGATTTTTAGTTATCTATTGCTTTTAGCAAAATATTTGATTCATCCTTAGGGTTATGAAACGATAGCTTTTCGTAAGGCTTACATTTTATTAAAGGGGGCATTCCTGCATTTTCTCCTTGATGAAAGAAAGAAAAGGGGGAAAAAGTAAAATTAAAGATGTACTTGTGTGGTTGGGATGAGTTTATTGACCCAGAGCTAGATTTAACTAGTATGTGCTTTGATCTGGCCAGTTCATGAAGACCATGAGTGCTGGGAAGTGCCAGAGCCTGAGTCGCATGGCCTGCAGTGTGCCCTGAGTAAAACTTTTGTCCTGTGTTTGCAGCCCAATTTTGCCCATGGTCTAGCTTCTCTCCAGATACCCCACGGAGCAACTGTGAAACGAATGTACATCTACAGTGGAAACAGCCTACAGGACACGAAGTATGTGTTGGGGAGCACAAGCTTCATGCTAAGGCCTGGGAGGTAAAGCAAAGTCTGTGCTCATTCTGTGCCTTCCCCCAGGGCTCCCATGATGCCCCTGAGCTGTTTCCTGGGCAATGTGTATGCTGAGAGTGTAGATGTTCTTCGAGATGGAACTGGACCCTCAGGCTTACGACTTCGCCTACTTGCCGCAGGTCAGTTATTAATAGGCTTTGGGGTGGTGGATTCCCTCTTGTGTCCATGTTGAGACAGTCTAAAATCCCACGTGCTTAGGGATAGTTGGTAGAAGACAAATGATGCAGATGTTTATGGTTAAAGCTTTCATTTAAATTTGTGAAGGGACAAGACATAGTTTTTTTATTATCATATTTTAATAAACAATAGCACTTTACTTCCCTCAACATGTGCATAAGCCTTCTGACAGCATATGTAGCTTTGCATTGGTTGCCAAGCTGTTTCCTGGAGATGTATGTTGTGGGCTACAGTGTTGCCTGGTCTCTACCCTTTAAGCCCAGTTCTTAGTATAGGCTGGCAGGAGGGACTTGTTGAATTGTAATTTGGCCACACCCAGCTGAGATTTGCTGGCCTTGAATGAAAAGAGTTGTTGCCTTCAGTAGCTGGTCTCTCCAGGATTCATGCCTCATTTTGTGGTTTCTTATGCCTGGCCAATCTCAGATCGTTGGAACTTGGATCGGGCTTAGTGGGACAGAGATCTCCAGTGTGGAGCTTGCCTCCATAAAGAGGGCCTGGGAGTCAACATAGAGGCTATACCATGATAGAACTCAGTCTAGCCAGGATTTGTTCCTAAATTGGGGTCTTGCATTAGTCTCTGGGCATTGGTTCTTAACTGTTAAGGGTCTGTTATATAAACTGAACTTACTGCCCTGAACAATTAGACAGTTCACAACCTCCAGGTTAGAAATTTCTTAAAATGTGATTTTTTTTTGCCAAGGCACAACACCAGCTACTTAAAGGGATTTGCATCTGAGCTCTAGTTTTTTAGAGAATTGAGATGTGGCAGCACAAATGATTTAGGGTCTGTCTTCTCCAGAGGATTGCTGCTTGAAACAGCAGGATAGTCAAGGGTGGTGCAGTTATCCCAGGTGACAGGAGGAGGAGCTAATGCTGACTGCCACCCTGTACAACACACTCCCAGCAGTCACATCTCACTGCTTACAGAGTCAGTGGGGAAAACATTTTGTTAAGTCAGGCTTCACTGAGTTATTGTCCAATCTGGTACTCATTGAGAGTTTCATTTGGCAAGCAGAAGGGTAGCTTGTCTCAATTGACCCATTTCTCCCATCTGTTTCCTTATGGCTACAATGATGGTTTTGTTGTTGTTGTTGTTTGTTTGTTTGCTTTAGAGAGAGAGAAACATCACTTTGTTGTTCTACTTATTCATGCATTCATTAGTTGATTCTTGTATGTGCCCTGACCGGGGATCTAACCCACAACCTTGGCATATGGGGACAATGTTCTAACCAACTGAGCTACCCAGCCAGGCCCTACAGTGATGCTTTTAACAGGGAAAATCAGTTCAACTGTTTTGGCCCCTGCAATAATTTATAAGGAAACTCACTTCAAGGAATCCGAAACTAAAGTAATCTCCTAAAACTAAAGGTAATTTTACTTGGGTAGGCTTCAGGCAGAAAAAGAAAGCTCACCTGTGAAGGGGACCTTCCCTATAGCCCCATCTGGACATCACAAGTATTGGGTGCCTGGAGACTTTGGGCACACAGTCCAGCTTGACAGGAATTTGGTGGGTTCCAGACTTGCCTAAGATGCAAGATTTGTGCACAGAGGTTAAGGTGGACCATGCATTCAGCGTATATGTGCTGTGAATAAAGACTCAGGTTAATTGGAGAACTCAGCACCTAGTATTTCATATATTGGATCCCTGAAGTCTTCTCTATGTAACAAATGGATTGTTATGCGTGAAAGAGCTTTGTTAACTCTAAAGCCCTATGCAGAGTTAGTTGATATTGGTGGTTATTATGGTACCAGGAATTACAGTCCTCCTCAGACTCTTGGATTTTTAAAAAAATTTTTTTGGACAAAATACTTTGTCTTTGCATCCACAGAATGGGGGAAATTTTGCTAATGGTGTGTCTATTACTATTCCACGCCTGCATAGTGTGTGTTTAATTGGAGCCATTTCTGAAATGTATTAGACAAAGTCAGGGTTTAAAGATTCCTCCCAAAGAAAAAACTTTTGACAAATCAGAAGATTTTTTCATTTTTCCACTTACGTGGTTTGTCTCTTGAAGTATTAATGTGTCTGTCAAATGTTTGTGGAATTAGGGAGTGAGGTGTTTCACACTTGGCTGTTATAAAGTGATCTTTAGGTCCAATCTCTTTTTTTTTAAATATGTCTTTATTGATTTCAGAGAGAGGAAAGGAGAGGGAGAGAGAGAGACAGAAACATCAATGATGAGAGAGTCACTGATCAAGCCCACAACCGGGCATGTGCCCTGACCAGGAATCGAACCCCGACCGCCTGGATCCCAGGTCGACGCTTAACCACTGAGCCACGCTTGGCCGGGCATAGGTCCAATCTCTTATTGAGTATTACCATTGAGAAGTACCTCCTAATGTAAAGAACCCTTTATCTTGTTAGAACCTGCAAAGTGGCAAGAAATAATAGTACTTTATCATATACTTCATAGCACCTATGCTGCTGTTTATCGTCCGTCATTTGTGTGATGATCTGATTGGGATCTTCATGCCATAAACTCCCCATGTGGGTAAAGACTGTGCCTGTTTTGCTCACCATTATTTCCTCAACATTTAGCAAAGTGCCCTAGCCTATAATGGCCAATAGTAAATATTTGGTGGGTGAGTAAATGATGTTTCCCAGAATGCCATGTCATTTTTGTGGAATTGAATGAGTTTCTCGCATTGTTTAAAGGACATAGAGATCTCTGGTAGCATCTCAATCCCTGGTGATCTGCTTGTATGTAATCTTGCCCATCAGCCAGACCTGATAATGCAGCTTGCAGTTAGTGGCCTCTCTGGGGCCCCCAGGGCCCTGGGCTTCAGGGTCTCAGGCTCTGATGTGGAACCTGACTGCCTCTCCCTTGTTCTCTACAGGTTGTGGACCTGGCCTGTTAGCAGATGCCAAGATGCGGGTATTTGAACGTTCAGTGTACTTTGGTGATTCTTGCCAAGATGTTCTTAGCATGCTTGGTTCTCCACACAAAGTCTTCTATAAGTCAGAAGACAAGGTGAGGGAGATTTGTTTATAAAATAAATAGTGGCCTCTTAATTTTTTATTTTTATTTATTTTTATTTTTTATTTTTTTTAAACATATCTTTATTGATTTCAGAGAGGAAAGGAAGGGGGAGAGAGAGAGATAGAAACATCATTGATGAGAGAGTCATTGATTGGCTGCCTAGCCTGCAACCTGGGCATGTGCCCTGACCGGGAATTGAACCCCAATCTCCTGGATCCTAGGTCGATGCTCAACTGCTGAGCCACGCCTGGCTGCGCAATTTTTTAAAATCATTAACTTAATATTGAGAAAATATAAACTAAATATTGAGTAAATATAATATTCTCATAGAACCTGTTCTGTTAAAGCAAATGGAGAAGTAAATTGAAAGCTCTTTTCTGACCCTTGTTGGTCAGATTGTCCTGCCTTTCCTTGGAGACTAGGGCCCAGTCTGTAGTCAACCACAGCTGGCTGGGTTGGTTGGCACCAGCAGCTTGAACTCCCACACTCTTGCCTACCCAACAGCTTAATGTCAGAGAAGAAAACAATTGTAGACTTTAATTTAATCCAAGAACAGTATTAAGGGGTTGGATTTTAATTCATTATTTTTTCCCAAACAGATGAAAATTCATTCTCCTTCCCCTCATAAACAAGTTCCTTCCAAGTGCAATGACTACTTTTTTAACTACTTCACTCTCGGAGTGGTAAGTTATTGTTCCTTAGAGCAGCGTTTAATTTCTGTAGGGGTGGGCAGTGAATCTTGGCACACCTATGTGTACATGTGTAGCTGTAACTGTGCCTGGTAGCAGGGAACCTAGCCCCAGATGGCTTTGCCCAGTGTTGTCTTGTATGGCAGACCTTTTCTGCCTCCAAGATTGCTGCGACACCGGGTTCCCTGGTTTGTCTTCTCTGACAGAAACATGCTCCTTAGGTGGAGTCTGTAGAAATCATTCAGGTTAAGATGTTTTAGGAACTGCCCTTTTGCAGAGCATATGAACCTCTTCTGGAGTCACAAAACTGGGAGATTAAAAAGGCTCAAAAACAGTGGGAGTGTGCTTATGAATTTAGGGGATCACCCCAGAGGCATTATTGTAGCCGTATGCTCGAGACCTAAGGTGCTGCTGATTGGAGCTTATGGTCACCATCAGTGCTGACATTCCAGCTGGTAGATGGATTTTGTGTGTGAGAAATTATTGTGTAAACACCAGCACGGTACATCTCAGAGGGTAGGTCTAACCTGGATCTTGAGTCTTCTAATCTATGAGCTTTCTAGGGCCTGGGGTCCTGAGGCAGGAAAGAAAGGGTAGATTCCAGAGGAGGAGAAAGGAAAGACTGGGTCGGCCTATGTGGGAAAGAGCTAGGAGTAGTGGGAGAGCAGCAGTGGGATCATAAACTCTTGAGGCTAGGATGGTGCCAGGAAGGAATGGCACTTTTATAAACCAAACCTCTTTTTGAGTTCTAGAGCCAGTGATAATAGGAGCAAATGGATTGGCCCTAATAGGACTTAGTGTAGCTACTGATGGAGGGGTGGAGTGGGGTAACCTTGTGGTCCCAGACCTGAGCAGCTGGCAGGGTATGACACTGGGCAGGATGTGATGGATAGGAAGTATTCAATAGGCAATATCAAATCTAGGTATGAGTGCTGTCAAGAGGCTGGAACGTTGGTCCAGGGGTTGCCTTGAGCACTTTGAGTTAGATGGCCCCTAAATCTTGGTAGCCTTTAAGTCAAAATCTCTGCTCAGTTAGATTTTTTTTATCAGATGCTTGTCAGGAAAGATCTGATGTGTTTGAGTTCCCAAGCAGTGGGAGCTGTAGCCACCTGTGCATGCCCGGACTGCTGGTACAAGATTTGGAATGGGGAGGGGGGGTCCTGTGGATGGTTGGGTGCCCCCTCTCACTGAAAATGTCCAGTTAGAATTGCTTGGCTTCAGCTGTCCCCATAATTATTACTTGGGAGAAAGCTCTTGCCTACAAGCATCCTCATTGTAGAATCGATGTCTCTAGTTGGACATAACCTAGAAAGACCACTGCCCTGCCTCAGTAAATTTCCTGACTTGAGCATCCTTGTTTTTTATCCCAGGACATCCTCTTTGATGCGAATACTCACAAAGTGAAGAAGTTTGTCCTTCACACCAATTATCCTGGGCATTATAATTTTAACATGTGAGTATACCTGTACCTGCCCCTCTGAGATGTGGGCTTTAGACTAAAAATCACCAGGAAAGAGGTTATGGCTTTAGAGTTCACTAATTTATCTACACCTGAGTTCTTGCTGTTTTATGGGAAGTGAACATTTCCTAAGTGTTTGTTCTCTTCCTGTTACAGTGTCCAATACCTTACGTGTCTCCATCTGTACCCATTTTACAAATAGGGAAATAGATTCAGAAAGCTTGGTGTCTTATCCAAGGTGATAGATCCTTCAGACCCCAGAGCTGTGCCTTTTCCTATTGAACTCTAATGCCTAAACCTGGCCTTCCCCAGTGAATGCTACGTCAGGCCCAGTGCCAGGGCTTTGGACAGGTGTGCTTGATTCTGTTTTTCCTGGGGTGCAAAGTTGAGATGTGGGGTTGGTTAGGCCTCCCAGAGGGCCCAGCCTTTACCCTTTGCCTTTTCTCTCTTAGTTATCACCGTTGTGAGTTCAAGATCCCAATAGCCATAAAGAAAGGTGAGTAGTGAGTGTCTTCAGCCTAAGAAAAGGCTTTTGGGGTCAGTCACTCATTGTGAGAAGGGACAAGTGATCAAAGTAGAGAGGCTGATAGTGGGTGGGTTAGTGGAACCTTTGCCCACCTGATTGTGCCCATAGCCTCAGCTCCTCTGGGCTAAGCTCTTTGTTGGGGAGTGGGGGGCTGCATTGTTTTTGTCTGTAGTCTCATAGAGGCCTTCTAGATTGCTTCCTGTGACCATGGATTGCTAGTCTCTGGAAGGGAGAGTTTCCTTCTACAGATGATCATCCAGGTGCTCCAGCCCAGCCTTCTGATTGTTGTCCACTGCTGGTTAGTGTAGCTCACAATCTGTGTCTCCTCCTTCAGTACTCATCCACAGTGCAAAGGGTGGTCAGGTCTGGGTTCTGCCTAGGACTGGGGTCACAGGTGGGCGTGGCTAGCTACCAACCACTCTTTGTTCTCTCCTCAGAAAATGCAGATGGTCAGACAGAAATGTGCACAACCTATAGCAAGGTGAGCTCCTATTTTCCCACCTGATGCAGCCTGAAAATCAGGTGGGCATGAACCTGCCAGTAGTCTGGGACCCATGTTCTCAGGGCCAGCCAGTGATCACAGGTGTGGTCAGGCCCTGCTAACCCCTTGCCACCTCCATCCCTCTTGCAGTGGGACAACATCCAGGAGCTCCTGGGTCACCCTGTGGAGAAGCCTGTTGTCCTGCACAGGTGAGTATGGGAGGTTGCTATCTCTGACCATCCCATCAGAAGGCCTAGGGAAGCCTAGCCGTGGATATTGCTTAGAAATGATAGACACATACTTCCTGTCCCTGCCCCTACCCTGTGCATTAGTACTAAACACACAGGCCTATTGTTCTGTTTGTTTACCTGTACCAGAGAGGTTGCCTGCTGGGGATAGCTTCTCTCTTCCTCCATGTACCTCCTAGTATAAGGGCCTTGTTCCCCTCTAGTTATTCACAAAGGGGGCAGGTATGACTAACTGTCCTGGGACCTTATTTTCCCATCAAAGCTGCTACCTCCTGTAGTCCACAGCTCAATACCCAATACATGGTTACCATACTGCCTGAGGCTCTGTGCCTCCTAAGTTACCACCACAGTCCACTTCCACAGTAACTTTCTGTACCGTGTTGGGTTATGTAGGATTCGGAGCTAAGTGAGGCTATTTGCTACCTCTAGGAGCTCAGGGCCTGTATGGGACTTAGAGACTACTTGCCAATAACCCCCATCCCAAAAGGGACTGGTGGCCTGGCCTCGGCCTGCCCCTCTAATTCTGGTTTCCTTGGCCTCAGGTCCTCCTCCCCAAACAACACCAACCCATTTGGCTCCACATTCTGCTTTGGTCTTCAGCGGATGATCTTTGAGGTAAGCCCTGAGGACTGAGGGGCCAGTGTTGATAGCAGGGACCGGAAAGTCATTGAGAGAGATCAGGGAGGACCTAACAGCCCTGCTGGGCAGGTTAATCCTTCCCCAACAACTCTGCTGAGAACCTGGCCTATTCAGTTTAACAGTGAGGGTTCAGAAATTATGTTGGAGAAATTCAGGAAGCTAAAGCATGGTCTACATCCACTAAGATGAGAGGTAGAGGGAATCTCAGGTTTATATCTAAAAACAGTACAGCAGGGAAGGGAACCACAGGGCAAGTAGGGCTCGAATGGCTATAGAGGCCCTGTTGGCCTGGGAGAAGAATGGATTGCCCCTGGTTTCTCTTCTGGATGCCATAACCTTCAGCAGGCCCCTAAATTCCAGAACTGGACAAATGGGCGTGGTGAAATTTATATATACCATGAGGCACAGGCAGACCCTGGGGCAGAGATGACCCCTAGCATGAGATAAGGGATGTTGAGGGATTGGCCCAGCCCTGTGTTCAGTTGTTTTGTACACACAACCTCCACGCCCAGGTACAGGACCTTTGGGTCCCTTCTCTGCAGTCACAGCCCCAGTGCTGATCCCACTGGTGGTTTTTGTGGGTCTGATTGCTTGCTCTGCTCCGCCCCCTTGACTTGCTGTCCTCTTCTCACACCAGGTTATGCAGAATAACCACATTGCCTCGGTGACCCTGTATGGCCCCCCCAGGCCTGGTGCCCATCTGAAAACAGCAGAGCTCCCCTAGGGACATCACCACCCATGCCCCTCTCCCCCGTGGAACTGTGCGTCGCATCCTCCTCAGCGGGCCTTCATGTGCCACCTGTGGGTTTTCTTGGACACCTTGCCAGTGTTGCAGGGCTGTTGTGATGTTCTGAGATGGGGCTCAGGCTGGGTGCTCTGCCATGGGGTGAGAGACCCAGATATTCTTCTGTCCGTCCTCAGCCTGCTGGTGCCAACAGGGGACACAGACTGCAAAGAGAAGCACAAACTCTGAGCCTTGATACCTGGACCCAGGAGCTTTCGACTAACACGTAAGGAGGCAGGGTTCTGTCTCCCCTGTCCCACACACATTGGAAAACTTGGGACTCTCTGTGGCTGAGGACTCAGGCACCCAGGATGAGGACAAGGTCCTGCCTTTGGCCCAGCATTGCCACATGACCCTTAAGGCAAGCAGGTAGCATGTCCACTTGGTTGTGACTTTTGCACTACATCCACTTTAGTTACTTGATGAGCTGGCTGTTGCCAAGGTGGCCCACCTGCCCTTACTTGTTCCTTTCTTGCATGTGATCCCTGCCAGGCCCTGTAGGCATACCCAAGTGGTTGAAACACAATTTTCTACCATCCAGGGACATGCCCAGGCCCGGTTCCAACCCTTCTTGGAGCCAGCCTTCCAAGGTTGCCTCTGCCCTGTTCTGTACCAACCTGGCTGGCAGGGCTGCATGTTTCCATCCTGTTTGCCTCTTTTATTTAATGCCAAAGTTTTAGCCAAAGACATCTTCCTCCTTTATTGGTTTCAGCATTCTGTTCTGCACTGTGGGCCGGCTCCCCTGCCCCAACCCTGGGCAGTGTCCCCTGGCTGGGCCCATTCATGGCTCAAGGCCTCTGGGGACTCAAGGAAGGCTGGACTGCTCAGTCTCTTCATGGGTCTTGTTAAGGAAAGTAGCATATGTGCTTTAAAAATATTAACCTTTTGAAAAGAATTGAGAAGAGAAATGTATAATTTTATCCCATTTTTAATATTTTGGTCTAGCAACTTGTGATACATAGATGACAATTTTGTGAGTTTTTCAAATGTGTGTACAGATTTTTGTAAATATGACTTTTGTAATTAACTCATGTACAGCCTCATCCTGTATAGTTTAACGATGAATGTGCAGGGGACCTGCCCCAGGCTCCTATATGATTCCTGGGCCTACATCCAGGCTTGTGTGGCACTCTCGTGATTTTGTGACTGACTGGTGTCTTCCCATTTGGACTGTGGCCTGGCCAGAGACACCCCCAACCCCTCCCCGCACATCCCCACTATTGGGGCAGCCAGGACTGATCTCATCCTCCTGGAATGGGGGAACCTTCCTCATGTCCTGCCCATACCTCTCCTCCAATAAAGACCTATCCCCTCAGCAACAGCTCACCATGTGCTGTTGCTGGGATGTTTGTACTAAAGTAAGCATGGAGACATTGATTTTTTTTTTTTTTTTTTTTAAGACTATGGGAAAATGTATAGTGGAATCATCTTAGGAGAAGAGGTTCCTTGTCCCTTCTGAGGGGCAGTATAGCCTCCAGTAGGAGATGGTCATAGTTGTGTGGGTATAGGTTCTTGTGCTAAGGGTAGTTGGGGATGGGAAAGACTTTAGGTAGTACCATGCACTTGGTCATCCCTATGTGCCTCGATTCCTTGTGTTGCAGCCAAACCAGGGCCCAGGAGGGGGTGGCTTCTCAAAAGGAGATCTGAAGACCTTGACAAGGCTGATAATCCAATTTGGAGGGACAGGTAGGAAGCAAAATGCCTTTCAGATTGAGTTTTAACATCTGCTAGTTCTGTGAAGACTGAAGCCAAGTCCCCACACTTCCCTAAGGGGTCTAGCTCTGAGAAAGACCTGTATGTGTCTGCATCATCCTAAGGGTTTCAAACCAAGGTGTGGTCAGATTCCATGAACCTTTGCCACCCCCTCCTCCCACCTGCTTGGTTCTAGGAGGACCAGACATGCCCTCCTGCTTGACAAAGAGCCTGGTGTTCAACCTCAGCCCTGGCTATCTCAAAGGGTTGTCATTACATAGTTCCAGATCAGCTCCCAGTACGGGGGCAGGAACCAAGCTCAATCTTCATTCCCTGAACCCTGAGGAAGCAGACACCTGACACGAGCTGGTTCCTGAACTTTTCTGCCCCTTTTTGGGGAAAAACCACATACACCTGGGAAACTCCCATTCAAGCTCCCACTACATCCTGGGTCTGAATGTGGAAGCTTGGGGCTGTGATAAATTAGGGGCCCCACTGAAAGGGGCCAGCGGCAACAGGCCACCGACGTGCACAGGCTGGCCTGTGTGGGCCGTGCAGCAGGTGCCACATTAGCCAGATGTCAGCGGCCGATAGTCCATGCACTACAACTAGCTCACGGTAAAAGCAGGGGTCGAAGGTGCGCAGGTGTGGCGCAGCTGAAGGCTGAGGGATGCCAAAGGTGCGGAAAGCGGGGTGAGGCTCAGGCGTGATCCGAAGGCGCTGCAGGCACATGCCCAGAAAGACATCGTCGATGGGGAAGAGTTCAACCTGCGCACAGGCGCTGGCCAGGCGATGCAGCGTGGCCCCCGAAAGCACGAAGCCGCCTCCACCAGCATATGCCGGATAGACGGGCAGGCCATACACAGCTTCGGGAATGTAGTACTTGCTGGCTCGTGCCCGGATTGGCCGCGCTTGTATGATCACGTCACCCGCAAGCAGGTCCTGCGCCGGATCCCGTGCTGCCAGGAACTCCAGCAGATTTCCCACGTGCATGAACACGTCGGCGTCCCCCTTAAAAACGAACCGCACGTCGGGGCAGTAGGCTGAGGCCCAGGCCAGAAAGTGGATCTCCTTGAGTGTTAGGTTGAAAAAAGTGTCGTCGAAGGCCCAAAGCAGGATGTCCGAGTAGGCGCGGCTCTCAGCACGCAGTAGGGCGCGCCAGCGCATTTGCTTGCCTGCCCCCTCGGCGTGGGCCTGGTCTAAGCCTGAGCCCCTGGGCACGCCCAGCAAGAACACTCGGCGCACGAGCGCCCCCTTCACGCGACCCTCAGCCCCCCAAGTCTGGCGCACGGCTTGGCGCCGCTCAAAGTCCGCCGCCACTGACTTGACGGCAATGAGTAGGTCGGGTCCTGCGCCAGGTGCACCATAACCTTGGCACTTTTGCGGCTGGTTAATGAGCAAGGGGAAGCGTCGCTGGTCCTTGGCACGCAGGTATCGGCCAAAGTCAAAGGGTCCCGTGGGCGTGGGTGGCTCTGGTGTATCTTCTTCATAGGCCTGCAGGGCTGCGCCCGCGTCTGGTGCCTGGAATACACGGAGCCCGGGGGTGGGCCCCGGCGCTACCCTCCCTTGAGCTTGCGGTGCTCTGGTAGTCGGGGCCCCACCATCGTGCTGCGCATAGAGCAGGAGGCCGAGGGCAGCGCCCAGAAGCAGCGTGAGCAACGCGTCCCCACGTAGGCGCAGCTTCCACCTCATGTCCGCGTGGCCGGCGCCCACTGTGGAGAAACTCTGTCTGGGTTCCGGGCCCCGCCCTCCCCGAGGGGAGGGGCGGGAGGCCACCCGCCGAGGTTCCCCAGCTACCGGCTGTTAATGCCCCCACCAGTATAATCCTACTCTGGGCTCCGTTACTCCCCCATCCCCCACCCTGCATCGGATGGGCAGCCTGAAAGGGCAAGAAGTCTTCCAAGTAGCCAACTCCCCTTCCCTCGGCTTCGGCCCAGGGTGGTGCTCCAAGGCCCGGGCTGGGAGCCGCAGAGCCTCAGCCCTACCCCCGCCCATCTTCCCAGCGCTGAGGTTGAACCCCTTCTACTCCTCTCTGCCCACCACGTCAGTTCTTGGGATCCCAACACTTACGCTAGGCCCTTGGGAGCGGCGCGGCCCCGGGTGCCAGGGGCCTCCGGGGCTCAGCGCAGGGTCCCAAGGGCGTCCATGGATTGGCCTGGGCCAAGTGCAGCGTTGGCAGGAAGAGGGGGGCCGGGGCCGCTGCCACGTGACCCTCCAGCTGTGCGCTCCGACAGATGGAGTTAAGCTCCACCCAGGAGACGCAGGGAGTGCTATCTCCGAGTGGGGACTAATCTCGGAGAGGAATCTTAACAGGCATTTCTTTCTGGGAATTCCCTGAGAGGTGGGTTCTGGTCTGGGTACAGGCTCAAACTCCCCAAATCCGCTTTTTTT